GTGTGAGGGCGGCCGGGTCGACGCCCGGAGCGCCTGCTGGAGGCCGGGACCAGCCGCCTCCGAATGCTGTCCTCAGACTGGGTCGCCCCTTAACTGAGGTCCTCAAAGTCACCCAGTGTCCCCCTTTCCTCATGCACACACCTCAAGCCCGAAGTCGCCACCAGCATCTGGATACCAGGCACTCCGAATGTTACCCCGGCTGAGTTCTCCCTTCTGTCTCAGTCACCACCCCCAGATGCCACTAACTCAGGACCCCAGGTCCCAGTTATCTCTGAACGCCCGGCGTTGCGCTCGGAGTCAGCCTGCACCACCACCACCTGAGGTTGGGGTCCATCCCCCCTTGGCCCCGGGATGGAATCATGACCCCATCTAGGTCCCTCCAGAAAAGCTTACCCTGTCAACACATCGGCCCCCAGAAGTCAGTCCCCTCTAGTCCAGGGTTTCCTTTGGTCACTCCCCCATCCCCAGGACACCCCTCAAGGTCACCTTCCCATCCCCAAGGCAGCCTCCACCCTGGTAACTAAATTGCCACCTTCCTCGGAACTGGTGCAGAGGCGATGGGACCCTGTGAGGCCAGGAACATGGGGGCCGGTAAACTGGGGCTGATTCAACCTCCTCACCCAAAACGCCGGAACTCCAGGGATGAAAGGCAAGAGTCACAAACCACCAGACCTTCAGGAATAAGGCGGGGCAGGTTTTATTTAATTGGACGCTAAACACAACACACAGCACAGACCGCCCCAAGCCTGTGTCTGCCCCTGGCAGAGGTGGGGAAGGGGCACCCTGGGCCAGCCTGACACCCTGGAGCTTCACGCTGCTCTTCCATGCTCTGGGGCCACCCCAGGACTGAGCAGGCCTGCTCGTGTCCTTCCAGTCCTCCACAGGGGCCTCATGCCCACCTTGTGTGCCAGTGGGTGTCATGGCGCCTCCCTCAAGACAGGAAGCTGCAGAACCCAGGTGGAAGGGGTCAGGCACGTTCGCGTCAGGCCAGTCTGGTTCCGGAAGTCTGGAGTTGGCATTTAACGGTCTGAGGGCCCACGGCAGTTTCCTCTTGGGTAACTGGCTGCTGGGAAGGTGTGGCCCAGCCCGTGCCCCCACCAGGCTTGGGAGAGGAGGGGCCAAGGCTCCAGGCCCAGAGGGTCACCCAGGCGGAGACACAGCTGGCTTCCCTTTTTCATGGAAGGGCCACCCACTGTCCTCCTTGGGAACACAGCCCAGCTGGAGGGAGGACTGTGGGGGTCTCCAAGAGCAGAGTTGGGGGAGGGGGCCTGGAGCAGGCGCTGAGTCCACCCACCCCATCCCGTCCCCACCCTCCCCAAGTCCCTCCCCAGACACAACTGTAGATCTGGGTCCTCCTCTCTTCCCCCGGGCATCAGCCCATCCAGGGAAGGCGGGGGCCACAGGCTCCTAGGGGGCTTGACTCCTGTTCCTGCTGCACTGAGCCAGTCTGTACAAATCAACTGTGTTTCAGCTCAGTAGGCACGGGAGGCAGAGCCCAGGGAAGCCAGGCGGCAGCACAGGCCGGGAGAGGCAGCAGAGCTGGAGGAGATGAGGGCTCCGGGGGGCGGAACTTAGCCACTGTGAACACGACTTGGTGCAGACCCTGCTCACAAGCAGCTAAGCCCTGCTGCCCAGGCCAGACGCAGGCAGCAAGGGCCTCTCTGCCACCTCATCCCCTGGCAGCGTCCTTGGTGGTGGTGGTGGCAGTGCTGATGCTGGTGATGGTGACAGCCCCGGAGATTGGGCTCAGGGTCGATTGGAAATCCCTGGCAATGTGATTTGTGACAGGCAGCAAATCCCATCCCCAGGAACCCCAGCCGGCCGTGGCACAGGGGTAGGGAGGCACTGGGCAGGGCCATCAGCTGGTACCTGGGGGAGAGAGCAAAGGAGACATGAGATTTGAGAACATCTGCCCTCCAGGTCCTGACTGCTGCTATCCTCTGGGGCCTTGCAGGGACACCCTCTCCCCACGTGCACCAGCAGCTGAATGGAGAGCGGGACCACCAGGCTGGACTCCTCCGACCCAGCCATGCCCACTGTCCCAGGCTCAGGGAGGAAGAGATGCCAGGAGAGTCCCAGGCCCAGAGGGGCTGCAGGGACTGCCAGAGCCAGGTCTCCACCTCTCCACTGGCCCATTCCCACCCCTCCTCCCCATGATCACCACTGAGCCCTGGGCAGGCTAAATGGGGCCATGGGGAGAGGAAGCCGAGGGGGTGGCGGGCAGGCAGTTAAGGAAGTGATCTCACCCCAGCTGGCGCCACTTCCTAGAAGCATGAAGGGTAGGAGGAAACCACCAGGGCCTCCCCCCGTGGTCCCGTCTCCTCGGCAGCCAGGCCTTAGCCTGAGCCACACCAGAGCGGATGCCAGCGGCAGACACCCAGCAATCCGTTCTGGGCATGCATATCCCAGAGCACCAAACCCAGGCTCGAAGTGCAAAGCCCCACTCAGCTGTTTCCCAAAGGCCCACCAAGCCTCACTGTCCCCATCTGCACAATGGAGCCAAGGGCTTTTTATCTACCTTGTAGCACAATAAGGTTTCACCAAGAGTGTGTATGCCCTTCAGCAAGTGTTTGGCATCAGAACTGTTCACAGAATTTGTGGGGCTACCCGCAACATGAAAACGCAGGGCCCCTCGTTCGGAAATTAAGAATTTCCAGACATCAACGGCAAAGCATTTAAACCAAGCTCCAGCCCTAGCCAGTTTGGCTCAGTGGAAAGAGAGTCGGCCTGCGGACCAAAAGGTCCAGGGTTCAATTCTGGTCAAGGGCATGTACCTCAGTTGCAGGCTCCTCCCTGACGCCGGCCCTGGTCTGGGTTCGTGCAGGAGGCAACCAATCGATGAGTTTCTCTCTCATCAATATTTCTCCCTGTCTCTCCCTCTCCCACTCTCTCTTAAAAAAAAAAAAAAAAAGGAAAAAGAAAATCAATGGAAAAAATATCCTCGGATGAAGATTAACAAAAAAATGACAAAATAAGCCAAGCTCCAGGTTCTTTGAGATGGGGGGTGGGGGTAAGACTAGTTCTGTGTTAGGTAAATGGGGCTCCGTGGCTAGGAGATTCCAACATAGAGCCAGGCTGGTGGGATTTGATCCCAGGCTATGCAGCTTCCTAGCTGGGTGACTCTGGGTAGGTCACTCAACCTCTCTGGATTTTCATCTCCCCATCTGCAAAGGAGGGATACTGCGGTGGTACGGATCCCATGAGTGCTCTGTGTAATTTGGATGGGGCTACACTGTCATCACAGACCAGACAGAAACAGGAAGGAAGATGAAAATGAGGACACCGCACGGGGTAGGACCACCGCACCCAGGTCTGGTGGTGTCCACCCCTGGGGGACAGGCTCTGTCACACCACCAGTCTCCCCACAGACACACACACATACACGAATCACCCACTTTCCCATTGGGCTCAGTCCAACCCTGTCTCCTCAGGGCCTGGGGGCACCAACCAGCAACAGAGAAGGCCTCGAAGGGCGGCCAGCCTCCCTGGGCCTCCTCCGGAAGTGAGACAGCACAATCGTGTCCCAGGGACGAGAACGGGAAGGGCGGCCATTTGGCCAGGCCTGTTTCCTGTGGGGTTTCCCCTGTACAGAGCCCCGGGATGGGGCCAAGGCCACTCCCCATCCTCACAGCCACAAAAGGCCTGGGTCTCTCATGAAGGGGACACTGCGAGGCAGGTGCCCAGGAGCCAGGGCCCCCCCGCTCCCAATGGCTGGCCTCTCAGGCTCATGGGTGACGGTGTCCAGGGAGGGCCGAGCTCCTGGCAGCTGAAGGCATGAGGGGAGGGTGGGCCCTGGGCCGGAGGAGCAAAGCAGGCCCCAGGCCTCACAGATGGATGCACGTGTGCCTGAGAATGCGCTGCAGACAGGGCGTGGAGGCATGAGACACAGGCAAGCATCTTGTCGCCCCCACCACCACTCTGTGTTCCAAGAATGAATATGGGCCACTTCCGCCAGGGGCGCCACCACCGCCGCCGCCCCCAAGCCTGGTCCCCAAATACTTTCCACCCTCTCTCTCAGAGCAGCTGGGATCGGAAAATACCAAGGGCTGCAGGCCCCGCCCTGTCCGCCGCCACCGCCCGCCCTCCCAGCCTGTCACTAACGCTTTGCCTAATGGGCCCAGACTCTCCGCAGAGGCCCTCTGGCTAGGGCCCCAGAGCCAGCCGCCAACCTGGGCTGCCCAGCCAAGGGCCGCCTGACCACCAGCCCCCCGCCCCTTACCCCCATCCCAACACCGAGACCATAACAACACTCACAACACAACGGGCAGCCCTCAGAGGCTGGCACCAGGGTGGAGGAAGGCAGGGCACAGTCCAGTGGGTGGGCCCTGCTGCCCACCCAGGGCTGGGGGAAGGGGGCGGGCTCAGGAAGGGGTGAGTAAGTGAGGACTGAATCACTTGTTATAAATAGGGGAACCATGGAAGTCACATCCCAGCCCCCATTGCGCCCAGCCACACCAAACCAAACTGCAACTCCTGCCTTAAACTTTCATCTCCCCCAGACCAGTCACGGCATTGCCAGGGGCGGGCACCCTAACATCCACGCGGTGAGCCCTGAAGGGCATCCTATGCCAGGTCCACCTCTGCCTTATCCTCAGATAGGCCCATGTCCCAGCCTTGTTCGGCCTTTTTGGGGTTGCTGGCCTGAAGGGCAGTCACTGGCTTCCACGCCCTGTCCTTCTCCCATAATTGCCAGACCCAAGACTTGGGGTCCCCTGGCTCCCCCAAGGCATTCTCAGGGTGGGTGACCACAGCCTTGGATTGTCACACCAGACCCAGGCCAGGGGGAGGCCGGGAAGCCGAGGGGCTCAGCATCTCAGAGTTGAGTCCCTGGCCCCTCAACACCCAGGTCCCCCATCCCAGACCACCCAGGCCTGCTCTGCCCAGAGCCACAGCTCGGTGACCACACCCAGGGTGGCGCCAGCTCCAGCACCCTGGGGCAAGGCGCCGCTGGAGCATGACTCAGCCGTGCCCAGCATGGCGGCGTCCTTGTCTGCCCAAGGATTCTCACACACCCACGCCTGCTGCCCTCTGCGTCCGTCCTTCCTGGGTGACCAGCCTTCCCCAGACACACCTCCGTGTCCAGCCAGGACACCTGGTGACAAAAGAGAAGGTGCCCCCGAAGGGATTTGACGGTGGGCACCTGGACAGGGACAGGCCCACACTTCTCCCCGCTCATTTTCCCACTGCTCCTCACTTACAGATAGAGAAACTGAGGCCCAGAGGGGCAAGTCCAAGGTCACCCTGTAGATCTAAGGAAAAGCCTGGCCTGATCCTGCCATAAAGTGCACCCAACGTGGGGAAGGGCCAGACGCCGAGGGACAGGAAGGAGCTTTCCTAAGAAGGCCCAGGGCTCCTGGCAGCATTATTCGTCTGGAATATTCTACCCCATCCAGCCTCCAAGGTGAAGGGCAAACTCTGAAGAGTGTGTTAAGACCTATCAAAGCGCCACCTGGCCCATGGTGACCTGGTCATCCCACTGCACCACGAGGCCGGTTACCCCGAGACTCCCTGGGATGGGGGCCTGCCCCACAGCTGCAGCTTGCACGCATCTGGCCTCCACTCGCAACAGGCAGGGTTGGTACAGGGTCCCCGGGAGGACCCTGGGGGCATCCACCTCTGCTGGCTCTTTTCAGTGAGCAAGGGTCTGCAGAGACCTGGAGACTGGGCCAGCACTGACAGGCCCGACACCCCTGGACACACCCTGTCACGCATGTGCTCCGCGTGCGAGCTCCAGGCCAGGCTGGCAGCTATGCTAGGCCCCCGCTAGGCCCACGGACGAGGCCCGCCAGTTAGGGTCTTGAGGGGGCTCTCAGAACACCGTGCAAGGGCGGAGGGCAGTGGGTGCCCCGCTGGGTGCTCAGACAGAGCTGGCACCAGGCCCCAGGACAGCAGCGTGTGAACACATGCACAGGGCTGGCCTGAGCACGGTGCGTGGGCGAGCGGGCTGGGTGTGTCCCACATCACCTCGCCTTTAAGCCTGGGCACCTGTCGGGTACTGCCCTCCAGCTCAGGCGGGCATGGGCATGGCTGCCAGAGGACAGCTCTTATGCCAGGAATCCCACACCCCCCAGCCTCACCCTCATATCCCACCCGTCATGGGTGGGCATCTGATTGGGGCTGGAGCAGAAAGGGGACAGGTGACACGGAGCCAGCGACACCTCCAAGACCTTCGGGAAGCCAGCAGTCTGTAGGCTTTGGTGGCGGCCAAGTCCTGTGCTGGGGTTAGAGGTCAGTCTCGGGCTAGGATGGGGGGGTCTGGATTCAGTCTGGGCCTTTCACCCTCCTCCTGCAGGGTAAGGGTACAGGGACCCCAAAATGCAGAGGGTTGGAGAGCCAGCTGTCCAGAAATCTCCCAAACCTGACCCCTTTCTATGCAACCCTGAGTGAACCCTTCTCTCCTGGGCCAGGAGGAGCCAGGAGAAGGGGAGAGGGGTCCCCCAAGCCCCGCTGCACTGCTGGCCGCTATAAGGCCTCCGCGATGGAAGGTCTTTCCCGCATTCACCGACTGACATGTCAAGAACCTGAA